AAGCAGTTAGTTTTGGTAAGCAGCATGAGTTTGCAGATATGTCATGGTACCCTAGTCAACGCCAGGTTGTGTATCGAGTTGACGATCGTGTTTCTCCGGATGTTTCTGGAGAAGGTCTGTACGACTTCACCGGATTCCGCGACACACTTTCACTTGTAGCCGAAAGTATTAGAACTACAGGTTTTGGAATTGGGATGTGTTTTGGTTTATTTTATATCAGCTGTCAAGATTTGTTATAATTGACAATAATGTTTGTTTAATTTTTAGAGGAAACTCAAGAATCCAATGGTTTGGATGAACTGAAGTGCGTTTCCGCAGGGGTAACCACCACGATCCTTGGAGCAATTGCATACGGATTAACAAACAATGGTATCTTTTATTTTAGTTTGGTGTTTTGTAATTTAAACTATATAAAATCATATAATATTAATAATTTAATTGAAAGATTTACTTTCTTACTAAGCACCAGCACTCATGATTTAATAATTGGATTGAATTGTAAAACATATCTTTTTTTTTTTGTTTTTTTTTTATATAAAAAAAAGACTTCTATAGAGACAAAATTTAACATTCATTTATTTTTTTTATCCAATTAGGTATTATTTTTACTGGTTATCCAGTAATTGGATATCAAAACCGCCTCCAATCATCTTCAAGCTGCGTCAATAGTCCTGAGGATGGACTAATTACTGCATGTCCTTGGGACCCAAGAATAAAAGGTGAGTTTTTTCACCAAACTACCTTCAAAATCAGTTTGTCCGTAGTTCAGAGCTTCATTGAAGACGTACAAAGCCTGGTTGCCTTGGAGCCCAAGTCACTCTGTGGACTAGAACTCTACAATGGAATCCTCATGCGCTATGTTAAAGCTTCAAGTGCTTACTTGGGCAGTCAAGAGGATGCATTAGACTTTGATATCACCTATTACCGGAGCAAAGATCCACTGACTCCCAGGCTTTACGAAGATATTCTGGAAGAGATAGAACAAATGGCAGTGTTCAAGTATGGAGGTCTTCCACACTGGGGGAAGAATAGGAACATTGCATTCGATGGTGTGTTCAAGAAATACAGAAATGTAACAGAGTTCTTGAAGGTGAAAGAGGCGTACGACCCATCAGG